CCAATCGCTAGAGATCAACTGAAGCCCTGAAGCAGGAGGTTTCATATCCCTTCCAAAATGTTTGCCTGAACCGTTCTAACTCTGGCTTTTCCTGTTCTCCAAGTGGATGTTCAATCCCTTTCAGAACCTTGCTAAGTTCTTTGGACCAGCATCTTGTTGCAGTGAGTTCCGCAGTCTAATCATGCCTTAAAATCTTGCTTTATTATGTGAACCGGCACAACAGGGGGACACGTGGCTAACACTGAATCAGTGGGTAACACTTGCTTATGTGTGAAAACACTCGCTAGGGGCCACGGATTCTGGCCTCACTCTGCCAGGCTTGCTGAGAATGAACATGGCCACCTTGTTCACTGCTTGCTCTTTAGCCTTCTAGTTAATAATTATCCACACTTCATAAGAGAGCAAAGTCTCATGCCTTCCTGGGCTGTGGAGGACCTTCATCGCTCCCCTTTTTACCCAGGGGTAGCTCACTTCCAGTGCAGCTGGGCCTGGAACCCAGGACCTGCTGTGACAGACCCAAGTCTCTGGGGGTGACGTCTCAGCTGGACTGCAGACAGCGTGGCCAGGCCTGTGAGTGTCATGTGTGGTGCCTGATGCTTTGCAGCCCCAAGCAGGTAGCTAGCCCTTAATAGCAACATAAATGATCATGTTGTCATTCAGCTCCAGAGTGAACAACATGCTGCTAGAACTGGGGTGCCTCATCCCTCTCCGAGCAATCGTTTCGAGCTCTCTGCAGAAATCACTGTGTCAGTCACACTCCGGAGGATGTTTGGACGGTTTCCTTCATTCCTAGAAGGGCTGGAAACAGATTCTGCAGCAGGTTCCCAGACCGCACAGGGTCCTGCCTGACGTCAGAGACAGTTCCCAGGACTGCAAACCTGTGTCTTTCTCTTTACAGGTGACCCACTGACGATATACACCCTGCCCTCCTCCTCGGCTGTGCTGGGCTCTACAGCGCTGCTGAAATGCCGGTTCAATATCGGGGGGCCGATCAATCTAACCGCCCTGCAGGTTCACTGGTATTTCTCAGATCAGAGTGTGGCGCAGTACGACCGAGGGGAGGAAATATTCGCACCAGGGGTGAGCATCTCCAAGCAGGAGTTACAGATCGGGAACGCCTCCCTGGGGATGGAGAACGTACAAATGTCGGACGAGGGGCAGTATACATGTGTGGTCGGCTACGGTGCGGAGCGGCAAGAGAGCGAGACGACTCTCCGTGTGTTGGGTAAGGATGGCACCAAAGTCCTGGCCTAGAAACCGTGAGTAGCTGTTGTCCCGCTGCTGCTTGGGCTGGCAGCCTGAGTGGCTCGTGTGCGTGCGAGGAAGGGAACGTGAAAGACCTGGTGTGCATGCGTGTGTGCACTGTGTGTGTGCACCGTGTGTCTCAGAACGGTGCAGCCCATCACGGACACAGTGTGTTCTACCCCAGCCACAGGAACGGGCCGGGTGCTGGTGCTGGTGCAGTGGCCGGGGGCTCAGCCCCGTGCTGGACAGTGATGGTCACTGAGCTAACGCTGTCTCACGTTCTCTGCCTCCCGTTCCAGCTGCTCCCAGACTCTCCATCCCGCGGCGAGCGGCCAGGACAGACACAGCGACCTCCTTCCCCTGCCACGTGTGGGGATTCTACCCCGGGGACGTCACCGTCACGTGGCTGAGAGACGGGCGGGTTCTGACCGACGCCACCCGCTCTACCCCCCAGAGGAACCCAGACGGGACCTTTAACCTCACCCTGACCCACACCTTCACCCCCAGCGCGAGCGACTCCAGCAGCATCTTCTCCTGCCGCGTCAGCCACGCGGCTCTGGCCCAGCCCCTGCGCGAGGAGTTCCCCCTGGATGTCACAGGTGAGTCTGGGCTGGGGGGAGGGCAGGATCCTGGGGTCCAGACCCCCCTTTATCGCTGACTGGGAGAGATTCGCATTGTCCCTTGTCCCCTCCACACCCCTTAAGCAGTAGCAGACTGACTGCTGGGATGGGTCGGGGGGGGGGGGGGCGTGGCTGGCACCTGGTGTGGGGCAGTAGGCACAAGGGATGACCCAGCCTTCCAGGGGTGAGTAGTGGGGAGGGGCTGGAGGAGCCAATGGGCAGGCAGATCCCTGTGCAGCCAAAATACCAGTGAGCACATCCCCCCTCCCCCCCGCCTGCCATGACAGTGTCTGCTGCCCAGGGATGGAGCCTTGGTCATGACTGATCCTGTCTATTATGGGCGCTCCTGGGGGGGCCCATTGTGCCAGGCGCTGCCCAGACACGGTCCCTGCCCTGAGCAGCTATCAGTCTAACCAGAGCAGACAGGCCCAGGGTGGGGGAAGGGGCAGCGCACCATTAGGGGAGTAGTAGGTAATGAAGAGGATCACTGGTCCCTGGTAGAAAGCCATCGGGGTCACTTAGTCACCTGGGCACAAGCAAAGAGTGCAGGACTCTGCCCTGGGCAGCAGTGACTCTGAGGAAGTGTTGGGGTTGTGGTGGTCACTGACCATGTCACTTGCCTGGTGTGTGCTCTCTCCATGTGCCGCCCCGGCTCTGCACACGTAGCTGGCTCAGCAGACCTCCAGGGTATTACACAAAAGATCATGTACTCGGTGCTTGGCCAGGTTGTCAATGAAGCCCTGTATTGGTTCCCTGCACGTGCTCCAGGTGCACTAACACATGTGCCTGTCACAATGGGCTCAGTGCAATCAGTGGTGGGACTTTCCACGGCCCCCTCGGCTGGACAAAGATGTCCCTCTTGTGATTCCTTTTTTATACTGTGATACCAGCAAGTGACGTGTTACCCTTGTGACGTGGTCAGTGATCACTCTACACCTGGTACCTGCTGGTTCAAACAAATCTTCTTCATTTATTACCCCGTGATCCCGGCCTTACCTGAGGAGGGGTCAGTGTCCCTGTACCACCTTCCGGGAGTGTGTTTATGCCACAACTCCGTGTCGGGGCCGGCCTGTGCGACCCGTCCGGAGTGTTTACAGGAATACCCAGTGCCTGGCACTTAGGAGTGTCTGTGTTTTAGCAACACTAGCCGTGCTGCTGCCCAGTTCCTGCACCGGACAGGGAACGTGCAGCATCTGCTTTGACCCAGGGCCTGACTGTGGTTCAGGAGTCGGGTCTTACACCAGGCCCTGCGCTCCCGGCTCTGTCTACTCCGGGGTGTGAATTTGTACCCGTGAGAGCAGTGAGCGATTGGAGCGCTCTCCCCCGGGCCGTGGGGGATTCTCCAGCACTGACCATGGTGTCAGACAAGATGTGGATGTTGTTCTGCGCGGAAGGATTTGGGGGCAGGTCTCTGGCCTGTGGGGTTCAGGGGCCAGACGAGATGAACCCAGCGGTTCCTTCTGGCCTGGGAACCTCCGGGGTAAAAACCAACCAAACCCCGCTGAGTGACTGGTGTTGTGAGATGCTACCGGTGTGGTGCTTCTGCTTTCTCCTGTTGATATCACTCGGCTGCGTGCGTGTGTTCCCTCTGTGTGCTGCCCCAGCTCTGCAGATAGCGGACACAGCAAACCCGACGAGAACCCCCAATAACCACAGAGTCTAGTCAGGTACAAAGGCACCTCGGCCAGGTTTATTGCGATCTCAGACACAATTGCAGTTCCCCGTAGGTTTCTGAGCCTAATTCAGGGCATACTACGAGAAAAGTGCCTCTTGGCAAGGTCCCGGCTCAGTGGCGGGACTTTCCACTGCCCCCGTGGCCGGACCAAGACACCACCCCAGGGACACATTCTTATACACAGGTACAAACAAGTTACACATCACTCCTGACGTATTGAGGTGCAACCCCTCTACGCAGCAAGGTACAACCCCTCTACGCAGTAAGGTGCCGCCTCTCACCTTGTACATGTTGGTTCGATCAAAACAACTCTATCCATCATTTTACCCTTTTGCCCCTGTCATTGGGATGGGTCGGCCTGTTCCATGTTATCTGTGGAATGTTCCGGTATGGTATGTCTTGGTACCATGTTTATACTGTAACTATGCTAAATTATATATTTCTGCAGCATCAGCCCTTTCCTTGCCAGCTTCGGTGAGCAGGGCCTGCCTCTTGCTCACAGCTTAACTTTGCTTTCTATGCTAGCAAAGCCTTGACCATTACTTTAGTTTGGTTCAGGCCTCATACTGGGCCTTCATTAGGCCTTTACTATGTTGCCTTCACTTACTACAACTGGCATGCGGAGGCGCGGCAGTGTCAGGACAGAGAGACGGACGGGCGTGTCTGGGGACAGGGACAGGCAGGCAGCTAGAGAGAGGTGGGTTTAGTTAGGAGGGGATCGGCTAATTGGCAAACCCGAGGAAGGGGGTCTGAGGGGGACAAGGCAGGGAGAAGAGGGGCAGGTGTGGGGCAGAGACCGGGAGGGAGGGCAGGGCTGGAGCAAACCCCCTGGGCACAGAGAGTCCAGTCAGAGCTGCAGGACGGTCTCTGGCTGGCCACAGGCCCCTGCTCTGGGGGGTGTCTCTGGCTGGCTGCTCCCCACATCCCCCCCCCATGGAAAGGGAAGCCCCGCCTGGGTGCTAGTGCCCCCTGGTGGGTGGGATCTCCCAGGCAGAGCTCCGAGTCCAGGGGTGCTGGGGGAGGGCCCCATTTCACCCCCTCCTCCCCGGTGCAGCACCCCCTGCTTTGGACACTTCTGCAGCTGCTCCCAGTGGCTGGAGTCTCTGTCCTCAGCACAGCAAACGGCCCTGGCGGGCTTGGCCCGGCCGAACAGCCCCCAGTGGCCCCTTGCTAAGTGGGAACCCATTCTCCGGGTGGGAGAGGGACCATGAGATGGGTCTCACTTTTCTCTCCTAGTCCCAAGAGCAGAAGCGGATCACACCAGCGCCGCGATTGGGGCGACCCTGGGGATCCTGGTCGCAGGGGGAGCTGCGGCTGCATTAGCCATGTACTGCCGGAGGAAGAGGAGGAGGCAGGAAGGTAACACGGGACCAGCCCAGTGGCTGTGGGGACCCAGAGGGAGCAGAGCGTCAGGGGAGGCTGAGGGGACAGGGACACAGCCAGGGACACCCCAGGGGCTGAGGGGCTGGGGGGTCTCGCTACAGACTGAGTCCCCTGCTGCAGGGCCCATCCCCAGGGGAGGTTTCACCCTCCTGCTCTCAGGGATCCGCCGTTCCCGGCCCCAAGCTCCGGCCGGACGCGTCTCCCAGACCCCCCCACCCCCCACTGACCCCAAGTGTCGCTCTGACCCCGTCTGTCTCATTGTCTCTGTCTAGGCCCTTCCAGTGCAGTGAAGACGTCCCCCGAGGACCCAGCTGGGAGCGGAGACAAGATGCATGGCGAGGACACGTTGGGGATGGGGAATGATGGGATCAGCGACGCCGGGGAGGGGTCTGAGCGGCAGCTGCTGTTACCTGCTCAGGGCCAGGAGCAGAGCGAGACACAGGAGCAGGACGGGGCGCAGGGCACAGGTGAGGGGCAGGAGGGGAGAGCGACTCCAGAGGGGTCACGCTATGGGGTCAGTCTCCTTCCGCAGCATGTGCCTGTGGATCCTACGGTGGGAGGATGGGGGGGGGGTCACTGCATGGGGGGGCTGACAGGGTCACATGGGGCCAGCCGTATTCCCCAGCCCCCATTGCTCAAGCACTATGAGTCAGCCCCCCCCCGCCTCTCCCCCAGAATCAGGAACTGGCTTAAACGCATTTCAGTTCTCGCACTGGACGCCAGGACTGGTGAGGGGCTGGGCCGAAATATCAGGAGACCCGACCGAGGAACTGGGCAGAGACTCTGGGGCCTGGATTAACCCCTCATTCCCAGGCAGGGCTGGGGCAGCCTGTGGCCCCCCCAGGCTCAGGGTAACCCCGGGGGCTCCAGTTCTGCCAAAGGAACTGACCCCGTTGGGCCCTCAGCATCTCACCCTCCCGCTCGGTTTGTTTTCCAGCAAGTTCCAATTCCTCTGGATCAAAAGCGTCTGACGTGGACACAAGGGCGTCATCCTGCATCATGCAGGGGGGCCCAGAGGCAGAGGGGCCATCCCCGAACACGGAGCCATTGGGGGAGACGGGAGGCCTGGATGAGGAGCGAGTGGGGGCAGCTTCCCCACAGGCACAGCCGGCGGCAGAGGTGGCATTCCCAGCCCAGCCCAGTACGGCTGGGGAGAGGGGAGAGACGGATCTGAACCAGCACAGTGGGGAGGCGATGGTGCCCACCAGCCAGACCAACGCGGAGGATCAGGGGTCACCCAGCAGCCAGACCACAGCAGCTGCAGACACGGTGCCGGATCCTGCCCAGGAGGAAGATGCCGAGGGAGAGGCCGGAGGTAACAATGAGTGGGGGTGGGGGTAACATGGGAGGAAAGGGGCCCATGTCAAGTGAACATTGTTCAACGTGCAGCCCACCAGGGCTAGGTGCTGGGAGCTCTGAGACGTTCCCAGGAGCCCTCCAGCCAGTCAGCAAAGGGCCACACTGCAAGTGCCCCATCTCTGGGGGATGGGGGGTCTACCAGTGTGGGCAGAGTCACTCCGAGGGGGCACAATCCGTGTGAAAGAACCGCATGGTAACCCAGCGAGAGCCGGGGAGCTCCTCAAAGGAGGGGCCGTGTCTTTCCTCTCCACCGAGAGACCCCAGGACACTCCCGGGTGCTGTTCAGATAACTTTAGGTGCAGGTGGTTGCACTTCCCAGAGCTACAGTTGCCGACACTTCCCATTAGAAGACCCTGTTTTTGGTTGTTTGTAACTTTGCCGAACATTAACTGTTGAGGCTGAAATTTTCTAGGCTGGGTGTCTGCCCATGTTTTAACCCTTCCTCGCAGGTCAGGTTTCTAAACCTTTGATCAGTTTTGTTTCTCTCCTCTGGATTCTCTCCAGTTTGTCCCAATCTCTCCTAAAGCGCAGCACCCAGAACGGCCCACAGTCCTGCAGCTGGGCCCCCCAGCGCCGAGCGGAGCCGGACAATGAGCTGCCGTGTCTGACCTACGCCACGCCTGTTAATACACCCCAGGCTGATATTAACCGTCATGCACCTCCCTGCTTTGGAGTGGGGACTGGAAATTTGGCAGGGGGGTCACTAGGGGCAGAATTACCTTTTGCCACCTGTGCGAAAATTGGTCCAAATTTAGCCTCGCTGTGCACCTCTGACAATCACCAGTGACACGTGCTCAGGAGAAGCATGTCAGAGATTAGCAGCCAAGCGTGCTCCACCACCCCGAGCTCTCGGAGCGTGCTCTGGGCCTGGGCTGAGCTGGGCTTGCTCTGTGCTCCCACTGGACGCAGGAACGGAGAACAGGGAGATTGTCTCTCTTGTGCTTTCAATGCCCCCGCTCCCCCCAGCTGGCACCCAGGGGCCGTGCAGAAGCAGAGCCCAGTGGGGCTGGCATGCAGAGCGGGGAGGAGCAGTGAGGGAAGGGCTGGGCTGGGGGATAGAGACCGAAAGGACAGGCTGGGTTGGGACATGGCTGTGAGACAGATCAGAGGGGGAGGCATTGGGAGACGGGAGCAGAAGCGTCTGCAACCACTAGACAACGCTCCCCTGCAGACCCTGCAATGGAACCCAAGATTCCCGAGTCTCCCCTTCCTCCGCTGTCCGCGGGTCGCTGTGACGCTCGCGGCCGTGCTGTGTGTCTCATCCCCCTAGGCCCTGACTCCGGGGGTGCGCTGGGGCTCAAGCACCCCCGGGAAAAAATATGGGGTGCTCAGCACCCACCAGCCACAGCGGTACTGGGGCCCCAGGCTGGCCACTGATCAGCTGTTTGGCTGAGTCGGGGGGGGGGGCAGTGGAGCAGCGAGCAGCTGGCAGGAAGCGCTCGGATGAGGTAGAGAGGAGCAAGTGGCTGGCATGCAGGGATAGGGGTCCTTGGGGGAGGGGGCAGAGCGGGGGCAGGGCCTCTGGGAGGGGGTGGTGCAGGGGTGGGAAGAGGCAGAGTGAGGGTGGGGCCTCGGGGAAAGAGGCAGAGCGAGAATGGGGCCTTGGGGCGGAGCATCCACTGGGGAAAAAAAGTCAGGGCCTTTGTCATCCCCCTGTAGTGCCTGATCCACATAGAGGATAACAACCTACTGCTGCTCAACTCACCCCCATCAGCAGGGCAGTGGTGGCTCCACACCGACTCCTGACCCCTCTCCCGGGTAACCCCAGCACCCCTGAGGTTGTGGTGTCACAGGAGTCGTTCAGGGGAGCTCTCCCTGGGTGAGGGGAGGGCCTGGCAGAGGCTGCTGGGGACATGGGGCCAGGTCAGATCAGATGGTGACGGGGGGCGTGTGTCAGATCTCCAGGTGCTGTAACTATGACGTGCAATTTCCACATGTTCTAGTCCCACAGGCTCCAGTTCTCGGCGAGATCTCCCGGCCGCAGGTCCTGACCCATGGGGAGAAGGTTACACTGAGCTGCCAAATATCCGGCTTCTACCCCAAGGACCTGAGTGTGACCTGGCTCAGGAGGGACCAGGGGGCCGGGGCTGCTGTTCCCCTGCAGGGCTCTGCCGAGTACAGAATCGACCCCGGAACTCCCCGCACACAGGACGGGAAAAGCTTCCAGCAGGAGACGAGACTCAGCTTCACCCCCTCAATGGAGAGAGACCAGGGGGTCGAGTACGTCTGCCGGGTGGGACACGTCGCCCTAGGGACCCCCCTGGAGAGACGCAGCCGGGAGCTGCAGGTGACGGGTCAGTTTCCAAGGCCCCTTTTCCAAACAGCTCAGCTCCCATTTAGGCACCAGAGTCAGTGGCGAGATTCACAGGAGAACTTGGCATGTTGGTGCTGAGCGCTGGGGAACGTGACCCTGGGCTCCTCTGACCCTCTGGTGCCACATCTGAGCTGGCTGGTGACTGGAGCAGTCTGGCTCGTTTGTGTGTGCAGGGAAGTGGGTTTGCGTAACGCCTGCAGGCAGAGGGGTTGTGAGCTCAACTGACCCCCACCGTCAGGGCAGTTGTGGCCCCACACCGACTCCTGACCCTCTCCCGGGTAACCCCAGCACCCCTGAGGTTGTGGGTGTCACAGGAGTCGTTCAGGGCAGCTCTCGCTGGGTGAGGGGAGGGCCTGGCAGAGGCTGCTGGGGACATGGGGCCAGGTCAGATCAGATGGTGACAGGGGCGTGTGTCAGATCTCCAGGTGCTGTAACTATAACATGCAATTTCCACGTGTTCTAGTCCCACAGGCTCCAGTTCTGAGCGAGATTTCCCAGCCACAGGTCCTGAGCCCCAGGGAGCAGGTTACACTAAGCTGCCAAATATCCAGGTTCTACCCCAAGGAGCTGAGCGTGGCCTGGCACCGACGGGGAAGAGGAAAGTCGGCGTTCAGGTGCTTAGACAACCCGGACACCCACAAGATTGTCACCCCAGACCCCACAGCCGCGCCAGACGGGAAATCCTACAGCGTGACATCCCAGCTCCTCTTCACCCCCGTGCTGCCCGAGGACGACGGGGCAGAGTACCAGTGTTCTGTGGAACATCAAACCCTACAGGAGCCTGAAGCAAAATCCACTGGGCCGCTGGAGCTGCGAGGTACGAGCGAGCGGGGCCGGGCAGCGCCGCGCTGACACTGGGGTGGTTGTGGCTGAGGAGGTCTCTGCTCTCAGGCACTTGGAGCGTCCAGACAAAGTGTCGCTTTGGGCTGAACCTCCCCCGGCCGGTTCCCAGCACGTGGGGCGGTTCCTGGAACGTTTGGGGACTGGCCCGTTGGCTGCTTGCAGGTCCCCCCAGTGCTGGGGAAAGAGGGTGTCAGGTCTGGAGAGAATTGATGGGCAGGTGCAGCAGCCCCTCTGTTTAAACTGGGTTCAGTTTTCCACTTAAGGCAGGGACTCGCCCTCATTGTTTCGCAGGAGGAGAACAGTGTGTCCTCCCCACACTCACAGCCCAGGGTCTGAGGGCAGAGGAGAAATTTTCTAGGGAATTTCAGCTAAATCTGGGATCTGGTTTGGGAATGGGACCTTTGAGAAGGTTTTACCTAAAGCATCTGATCTTTGTTGACACCTTTTGCCAATAACAGCTGCAGAGGCGCCGACTCCAGCCCTGGAGCACCCAGGGAAAAAAATTAGCAGGTGCTTAGCACTGCCTGGCTGCCAGCTCCCCCCCCCCCGCCAAAGTGCATCAATCAACTCCTCCCCCTCCCTCCCAGCTCCTCCTGCCCGCCATGGATCAGCTGTTCAGGGGCATGCAGGAGGCGCTGACGGGAGGCGGAGGAGTGGGGATGGGATGTGCTTGGGGGACGGGGCAGAACTGGGTGGGACGAGGCAGGGTGCCGGTGATGGCGTGGGGGAAGGGGTGGAATGGGGGCGGGTCCTGGAGTGGAGCGGGAGGGGGAAGAGGTGGGGGTGGGGGCTGGGGGAAGGAGTGGAGAGGGGGTGGGGCCTGGGTGGGGGCTGAGCACCCCCAAAGAAAGGAGGAAGCCGGCGCCTGTGAACAACTGGGTTTATCCTTCCAATGACTGCCATGATTAAACCCCACTAGCATCAAAAGGAACATGTTTTTTTGTTTTGGTTTTCACCAAGAAGGTTGGTGGTGACTGGACGTCTAACATAGTGAATGCCAGTGAAAATGGGGTAGGATCAGAGGCTAAAATAGGGAAGAACAAGTTAAAAATCACTTAGACCAGTTAGATGTCCTCAAGTCAGCAGGGCCTGATGAAATGCATCCTAGAATACTCAAGGAGCTGACTGAGGAGATATCTGAGGCATTAGCGATTTTATCTTTGGAAAGTCATGGAAGACGGGAGAGATTCCAGAGGACTGGAAAAGGGTAAATATAGTGCCCATCTCTAAAAAGGGGAATACGGACAACCCAGGGAATTACAGACCAGTCAGCTTAACTTCTGTGCCTGGACAGATAATGGAGCAAATAATTAAGCAATCAATTTGAAAACACCTAGAAGATAATAAGGTGATAAGTAACAGTCAGCATGGATTTGTCAAGAACAAATCTTGTCAAACCAACCTGATAGCTTTCTTTGACAGGGTAACAAGCCTTGTGGATAGGGGGGAAGCGGTAGATATGGTATATCTTGACTTTAGTAAGGCTTTTGATACTGTCTCGCATGACCTTCTCATAAAGAAACTAGGGAAATACAACCTAGATGGAGCTACTATAAGGTGGGTGCAAAACTGGTTGGAAAACCGCTCCCAGAGAGTAGTTATCAGTGACCCACAGTCATGCTGGAAGGGCATAACGAGTGGGGTCCTGCAGGGATCAGTTCTGGGTCCAGTTCTGTTCAATATTGTCATCAATGGTTTAGATAATAGCATAGAGAGAACACTTATAAAGTTTGCAAATGATACCAAACTGGGATGGGTTGCAAGTGGTTTAGGGGATAGGATTAAAATTCAAAATGATCTGGACAAACTGGAGAAATCATCTGAAGTAAATAGGATGAAATTCAATAAGGACAAATGCAAAGTGCTCCACTTAGGAAGGACCAATCAGTTGCACACATACACAATGGGCAATGACTGCCGAGGAAGGAGTCCTGTGGAAAGGGATCTGGGGGTCATAGTGGATCACAAGCTAAATATGAGTCAACAGTGTAACACTGTTGCAAAAAAAGCAAACAGCATTCTGGGGTGTATTAGCAGGAGTGTTGTTGTCACCGACTCACAGATCGTGTCCACTCTTGGCCCCGTGCGGTCCGTGGGGGGTGCCCCTTTCAGTGCGACAGCCCTTCTCGGGGGTCCACTCTCTCTCGGGGTCAGGCCCCTCCACCTCCTGGAGCCGCACCTCTCTGAGCCTTAGCACATCTGTCTATGCCGTGGGCCCCCTCAGGGAGTCCCCTCGCTCTGGGCCCCCGGGGCCTCCACCCCCGAAGGGGTTGATGCCACCCCGTTCTCTAGACCAGAGTGACTCTCAGCTGGTGTAAAACAGGAAGTTTATTGAGCGTTGACCCCAGCACAGGAAACTCTCAGGGCCTCAGGCCTGGCCTCCCTCAGCCCAGCACATCCCAGTCTCTCTGCGTCCAGGTGGGCTCTGCCTGCTCCCCCTCTCCAGCCCAGAGCCCCCCTGCTCCCAGCTGGGCATCTGAGATCCCCGGCCCCAGGCCCCACCTCTGTCCATTGTCTTCTCTCCAGGGAAACAGGGTCGCCTGGGCCTCCTCTCCCCTCTGCCCACCTCTGTCTCCCTCGGGCTGGAACCGGCTGGTCCGGTCACCAGGGTCCTCTCCCCGCAGCCCATTGTCCTCCCACTGGCCAGAACCGGCTGCGACTCCTGAGCTGGGCCTCCGGGTCGTCAGGTCACCAGTCGCTGGGGTCTCCATCCTCCAGGCCATTGGCTGGGGTCCCAAGTTCCCTCTCCAGTCCTCTGTAACAACAACTCCCTCTCCCCTCACCTCGTTAAACCAGTAACACCCAGGGGCACTGAGTCCCACCCCCTCCGCATGCAACCCACTGGAAAAACACGAAAAAAACCCAAGAAAATCCCCCACTTTGTCACAGTAGTGAGCAAGACACGAGAAGTAATTGTTCCGCTCTATTCCACGCTGACTAGGCCTCAGATAGAGTGTTGTGTCCAGTTCTGGGCACCACATTTCAGGAAAGATGTGAACAAATTGGAGAGAGTCCAGAAAAGAGAAAAAAAAATGATTCAAGGTCTGGAAAACATGACCTATGAGGGAAGATTCAAAGAACTGGGTTTGTTTAGTCTGGAGAAGAGAAGACTGAGAGGGGACATGAGAACAGTTTTCAAGCATGTAAAAGGTTGTTACAAGGAGGAGGGAGAACAATTGTTCTTCTTAACCTCTGAGGACAGGACAAGAAGCGAGGGGCTTAAATTGCAGCAAGGGCGGTTTAGGTTGGACATTAGGAAAAACGTCCTGTCAGGGTGGTTAAGCACTGGAATAAATTGCCCAGGGAGGTGGTGGAATCTCCATCATTGGGGATGTTTAAGAGCAGGTTGGACAAACACCTGTCAGGGATGGGCCAGATAATACTTAGTCCTGCCACGAGTGCCGGGGACTGGACTAGATACCTCTTGAGGTCCCTTCCAGCCCTGTGATTCTATTTGAAGACATTAAGCTGTAATTAAGCAAAGTGATTAATGGCTGTACCCAGTCCTTGCTCTTATAATCACAATGGCCCTTACCCAGGAGAGCTGCCGCTCCCCACACCGTGCCGTGGGACTGACACCACCTCCTGGGGTTCTTCAGATGCAAGTGAAGAAGTGAGGTTCTTACCCACGAAAGCTTATGCTCCCAATACTTCTGTTAGTCTCAAAGGTGCCACAGGACCCTCTGTTGCTTTTTACAGATTCAGACTAACACGGCTACCCCTCTGATACTATTTTTAATAGTTGTTCTTAAAGGTTTTTGGGGACCTGAAAGATGGGGCCATACAATTATGGGCCAAGGTCTTACAGGTTATGGAGGCCCAAGAACTACCCTTCAGGGCTTGGGGAAATAGAATCAGAGTGCATAGAGGAAAGTGTGGAATTAATAATAATACAAGCAAATGTAACTAAAAATACAAATGTATTAATAACAAAAATTAACAACAAAATGACTATTAGAGAACCTAACAAAAAATAAACCTGATGCATTGGGGACCAAAGTGTTTTGGACACAAGGGGTGATTGATAAA